CGGAGTGAGCGCAGGGGGGGGGAGGGAGGGGGAAAGGGGGGGAGGAACGCGCCGGGCCCGCCGGGGCCGGGTGGTGGTGGGGGCCGGGGCCGGGGGGGGGGGGGGGGGGGGGGGGGGGTGCACAGTCAGGGTGTTGTCCTCAGATAAAAGCAGGCAGGAAGGGCGGACTCAGAACCAAACACCAGACCAGGACTGAGATAAGAAAAGAATCCGTTAGACCTTTATTCTGGGCTCACATTTCGTTTCCTCTTTTGTTACGATGCTCAAACTGAGGTTTCTCATTTAGGAGCTTTTAGTGTTAAAAAATAAAACACATTTTAGTTTCATAAACTCAGAGCCTCGTTTTATTCTTGACTTTCAACTCAGGCACTCGTCACTATTTTATGTTTAATTGCCCCTTTTACTATATTAAAAAAAAAAGTTTTTGTTTTTTATTCTTTAGCACATTTCCTTGTCTTTCATTTGACTGTAAGGCACCGTGACAACGTTTAGTTCCTTTAAATGATAAATTTGACCTTAACCAAGAGTGTTTATTTATTGTAAAGCTACGTCTGATGGAGTTAATTTGTCGTCCACAGATACGGCGTGAACAAGTTGGAGGAAATGCTGCGGCCGCTCGTGGAGAAAGGCTTGAAGTGTGTGCTCATTTTTGGCGTGCCGGCAAAAGTACCAAAGGTTTGTCAAATTAAAAGAGAAAAACAGTTTATTTTATTATTTAAGGTAAATATTTGTTATATATTTTTGTATATCATATAAATTGTTATTACTAATGACATAAGTTGTCATTGAGATGTGATGTTTTATTCTACTTTTAGTACAAATATGCAAAAGAGCAGGTTTTAGTCTGACATTTTGTCACTGGTTTTTCTATATTTATTTTTATATTTAAGTTAAAATAAAACAGCATATTAACTTTATTTTTTACAATTTAGACACAAGGTTAATGGATTTTAGTCTTTTCTAAGATTTGATCTCGTAAATGGGTTCATGTGCTGCAGTTTTAGTCTCATTGTAAAATAAACTGAAAATAACAGTTCAGGGTTTGTAAAGATACTTTTACTTTGTATTTTTAGGTGTGAGGTTTTAAACTTGGTAGTTTTGGATGATAAGGAGTAAAATGATAACCTAAACCAGTGGTTCCCAACTCTGGTCCCTGAGGAACACCATCTTGCATGTTTCAGTTGTGTCTCCGCTCCAACACACCTGATTCAGTGATTTGATTACTTCAAGTTCTGCAGAAGCCGGTTAATCATTCGAAGTAGGGAAACAAGTAAAACATGCAGGGCGGAGTTCCTCAAGGACCACTGTTGGGAACCACTGACCTAAACATTCATGTAAGAACGTTTCTTTCTGTAACTTTGTGTTTTTTATGTTTAAGGATGAGACGGGTTCGGGGGCCGACACGGACGACACTCCGGCCGTCCTGGCGGTTAAAAAAGTCCGGTCTTTGTTCCCGGAGCTGCTGGTGGCGTGCGACGTCTGCCTGTGCCCCTACACGTCGCACGGACACTGTGGTCAGCGCCTCCTTGTCCAGTTTACTTCCTCCTGTTTCACCTAAAATACGCCGATATAATCTGACGTTTTATTTTTCACTCTGTTTCTGTAGGGATCCTGAACGAAGACGGCACTTTGAACAACGACGCCAGCTGTCTGCGCTTGGCTGAAGTAGCGCTGGCTTACGCTAAAGCTGGTAAATTATAATAAATTAAGTTTAAATTATATTTTATTAAATTATATTTTATTATAGTAAGTTATTATTATATCAAATTAAGTTTCTCCTTTAGTTGTTACATTTGTTTTGTGACCAGAAGAAACTACTAGGCTGTGCATGTTCTGGAGTCGAGACTTTTTTTTTTAAGCATCCAATAGTAAATAATTATAATAAAATGATTTAGTTTGACCGTTTCTGTAAACTGTTTATTGTCATTGTTGTTTATAAATTATAAAATCTACAAACGTTACAAATATAGTTTTATATCAGTTGGTGTTCCACAGGGCTCTGTATTCGGCCCATTCTGTTCAGTGTGCATTAACAATCTAGACTGTGATAATTAAATATTTGAATGTATGCAGATGACACCATTTAAAATAAAATAACTTTTAGTCTTAATGCAGCTTTTTGAAAATGGTTCACCATAAAATCTCCTTAGATTCATCTCTTTTTGTTTTTTACTCCTAATATATGCAATTAACGTTTTTTTAATTACAATGCAAAACATTTGTATATTTTTAAACTTGACTCTTTTATGAAATAGAAAGTAAATCGTTATACGCTCTATTCATTGCTCTTTACAAACGTCAACTTAATGCATGTTTTGACTTTCGTGTGTAATTTTTTAGGCAGTATTTCTCTCTGTCTTGACGTAAACGCCTTTAACTTGATCCTGAAACGTTTCCTGCAGGTTGTAACATCATCGCTCCGTCCGATATGATGGACGGACGAGTCCGAGCCATAAAACAAGCGCTGCTGTCCAATGGTTTGGGAAACAAGGTGAGACTCGGCTTCGGATCCAAAAAAATGTTCACGCAACGATGGATGTTGTTAAAGTTGTAACAAAATAAGAGCCTTTTTAAAAATGAGCTTGATTTGATCTTATTTTCACACTTGAAGGGAACCAGATGATTTTATTTTAAACCTTGGATTAAAACACGAGGTTGTTTTTGATCTGCAGGTTTCGGTGCTGAGCTACAGCGCAAAGTTTGCCTCCTGTTACTATGGTCCCTTCAGGTACGTAAACGCCTGAGGCTCCGGTGTCGGACGAGCGCAACGTCTCTGACTTCCTGTTGTGTTTGCGTGCAGAGATGCTGCTCAGTCTAAGCCTGCGTTCGGAGACCGGCGCTGCTATCAGCTGCCCCCCGGAGCGAGAGGACTCGCCCTCCGAGCTGTGGTGAGTTGGTTCGTGTCGGCGTTCGTGCGTGTCGTTGAAGCGCCTGCAGGTGACGGTTGTTGTTGTTCGGTGCTGCAGGAGCGAGACGTGAGGGAAGGAGCCGACATGCTGATGGTGAAGCCCGGCCTGCCGTACCTGGACATCGTTAGGGAGGTCAAAGACAAGGTCAGCAGGGGGTTTTGGAGGAATCCTGGACTGAAAGAGCCCAGTGCAGATCGTTGTTTTCCTCTCCTCAGTTCCCCAACCACCCTCTGGCTGTGTACAACGTGTCTGGGGAGTTCGCCATGATGTGGCACGGAGCAAAGGCCGGGGCGTTCGAGCTGCGGGCCGCTGTGATGGAAGCCATGACCGCTTTCCGCAGGGCAGGTGAGCCGGGACGAGCGAGGGGGGAACGAACGCTCGGAACGCATGAAATCAGCTGGATGAACCGTCAATGGTGTCGTTTGATCATTCATAGGCTTTATCGTTTCTTCATGTCTCTCTTTCTACTGAAGACACTGGAAGACAAAAGGCTCAACTCCAGTTCTTCCCTGACCCCTCTCTTTCCCTTTTCGCTTTTAAATCTGTTTTAACCGTCAAAAATCGTGTTTTTGGATCGTTAAAAGCAGCTAAGCTGAGAAGCTAAGCTAACAGGCCGACCTCAGGAAAAAATCCTCCGTCTTGTCGAAGCTCCAAAAGTCACGGTTGAAACTCGTGCCTTCGTGTAAAAAGTTGTTTTTTTTCTGCAAAAAGAATCTGAGAACTTGTTTACTGATAAAAACAAAAAAAACTTGTTTACTGTTTTTTTAATTAAAAGCTTTGTGTGAAAAATGCTTAAGAGCTGAAACCACACCGAGCGGTCGACGTTTTGAGAACTGAAGAGAAACAGCCCATGTCAGACACGCTGCTCGCTCCCTCACTATCCATCCTTTGGTTCAGTCTTATACTGCCATCCAGTGGTCAAAAAAGGTACTACACAAAAATTAACCAACATTTCTCCTTAAATTTGACAATAATTACTAATTATTGTCAAATTTCAAACAATATTATCGTTTATCGCAATAATTTCTGAGACAATGTATCCACAAATTATTCTAGATTTAATCCCCTGTTAATATTTAGTTAAAGTTCTCTTGGCCAGTTAGACCACAGGCCTTTTGTCTCCATCATCGAGCTTCTGGCTGATATTTGAATTATTTTCGTCTTGGCAGAACTGGTTGGTTTTCTGGTTTCAGACCTGACAGTCCTCTCATGTTCATTCAGGTCAAGGTCGGGACTTTGGGAAGGTCGTTCAGAAAGCTGTTCTGGTGTCATCGTCCTAGTTGTTGGTTTGTGGCGTGGTTGGAGAACCTCTAGGTGGTCCTCCTCCTCCTCCAACTTCTACTTCAGTACCACAGCATGATGCTTCCACCACCGTGCTTGACAGCTGGTTCAGTGTTTTTAGGTGTGAACGCCTCGACTCCTCCAAACATCCCTCTTGTTGTTCACAAACGTCCATCGTTGTCGTCTGGCCGTCAAACGTTCGTTTCGTCCGCGTGGACACTGCAGGTTTCAGTCCAGCTCGAAGGTTCTGGACCTTCTTTCTTGTCCACGTCGATGTAAAACCGGCTCTGGTGTGGACGGGGACACACCGAGCAGTTCACAGTTGAATTCACGATGAATTTAAACTTTTTAAACGTTGGAACCCGTTAATGACAGAGTTTGATTTTGTTCAGTTTCTGTTGATTCTTGCGATGAAGCGAGCAGATCGCTCGGTTCAGCTGTGGATTTAATCTGATTATATTCTGTTTTTTTAACCAGGCGCTGACATCATCATCACCTACTACACACCTGAGCTGCTCACCTGGCTGAAGGGCTGAAGAGGGAGTGAAGGATGAGGACCAATACATTGAAATCATTGATGCTGACTAAGAATATATTAACTGGAATAAATAGTTTTATGATCATCAGGTTGTTTTAAAGGGCTCCCATGTGCTGAATGTTGAATGTACAAAAAATATAATCGTGTTTTTTTTTTAGCCAAAGATAAACGTCACCTGCATTAAAGAAGAACCGTTGTTTAAAGTGACGACGAATATTTGTACGACGTGAGCTGGATCGTTTAGAGGAAATAAAATAGTTTATCTGAAACAACGAGTGCTGTTTTTACTTTATTTTGGACAAGATGCCACCAAAACATAAAAATAGAAAAAGAATGGAGGTAAAAACTAGATGTTTTTTTAATCCAGCAGAAGGCACGGTTTAATTTTACTGCTGAATATTAATTATAACAGATTTATCCTCTGGAAGTCAAAAGTTAAATTTATGATCAGGTGTGTGCAGATTATATTTGTGTTTGTTTGCATGTTTGCTCTTTACTCAAAACTCTATAGTTTATTAATGTTTAATAGTTTTTATAAAGTTATCTTTAGTAAAGGATGCAGTACACAACTTGGCCAGCAGGGGGAGACTCTAGTCTTTTAGTTTTTAGGGGGTTTTAAAACGCACGCTGCAAAAAATGTCGCGACTTTAATTCACGCAGTTTTTGATTTTTCACCGACATGAACTTACAGAAAAAATAAATTTCCTCTGATTAAAAACAAACATCTTGTTTAGAATAAAATAAAAGTGTGAGAGAGTTTGAATCAGACGAGTCAGATGAATAAAACCAGTAACGTTGCTGGGAAAAGTTTGGTGCTGGTTGTGTTTGGACTCCGGTTCTGGAAGGATAGTGCGCGTGTTTTAATTTTTTGCAGCGTGTGACGTGCGTGGGCCGAGCTGTGATTTAGGCTGCAGTCCTGTGGATGGATGGATCAGTCTCAGAGGGACTTGGAGGGACAGGACCGCGCTGGAACTGGATCAAGTCGTTCCAGGTGGATTTTACGCAGCGGGGACGCACGGCGCGCACGGACAGGATGACGCCTTCCCTGACTCTGAGGGTGTTCTGAAGCAGACGGGGGGCTTGTTCTGGTCTGGAGTGACTGAGCCGGGTCTCCTCTCCACGCTGCGCGCGCTGCTCGGACCTGGAGATGGGACGCGCGGGCGCGCTGGGCTGCTGCCTGCTGGCCGCGCTGGGCTGCTGCCTCCTCCGCGGCTGCAGGAGCAACATCACGGCGGCCGTCATGCTCCCGGACAACCACCACATGTACCCGTGGGCTCTGCCGCGCGTGCTCCCGGCCATCCTCATGGCGCACGAGGACCTGCACAGCAAACACAAACTGCTGCTGGGTCGGACCGTCAGGATCCTGAACTACAGCACGGAGGACCCGGCGGCGGGTTTGTGCGCGGAGAGCCGCGCGCAGGTGCTGGCGGTGGACGCCAAGCTCTACATCCGGCCGGACGTGTTCTTCGGACCGGGCTGCGTGTACCCGCTGGCCTCCGTGGCCCGGTTCGCGTCCCACTGGAAGCTGCCGCTGATCACCGCCGGAGGCCCCGCGTACGGCTTCGACGTGCGCGGGGAGGAGTACCGGACCATCGTGCGCAGCGGGCCCACCACCACCAAGATGGGGGACTTCGCCAACGCGCTGCACACGCACTTCAACTGGACGTCCCGGGTCGTGGTGGTCTTCTACGACCTGCGGCAGGACGACCGGCCCTACTACTTCCTGTCCGAGGGGATCTACATGAACCTGAAGCAGGAGATGAACGTGACCGTGGAGGCGCGGCCCTACCGGGGCGAGCCGGACTACAAGGAGCTGGTCCCGTTCATGAAGGACAGCGGCAGAAGTAAGTCCAAACAGTTCTCATCGGAACCGAACTGGAAGAGGACTGGGTCCTAACTTTTACTGAGGCTGAAGTAAAGATGGGCAGAGGTTCAGCAGTCTGTCTGAAAATAGCTCGACGGGTTTCAGAAGTTCTCCTCATCTACTCCCCCCTCTGTGAAGCGTCCCCTAAACGTCCTGGACCCGAGGACACCAGGTCTGGAGGTTTTGGAAGGAAGGTTGTCCCGATTCTGTTCTACAGTCCTGGGTCTTCTCTGCTGGACTGGAGCAGATGTTCTAGAACCTGTATTTTCTGTCTTGATGGAGCCTTTCCAGATGTGTAAGCTGCCCATGATAGAGGCGCAAATGCACCCCCATACCATGAGAGAGGCACACTTTAGAACTGTGCTGACAACAGCAGGCACTGTGATCCCTCTCATCTTTAATATAGAGGACAAATAGCTCAAGGTCTGGTCCATCTGACTCCAGAACAGTTCTCCACCTCGCTCCACTTCAACCGAGTTCTGGTCCAGAGAAGATTCTGATTCGGTTCTGGCTGCTGTTCACATACGGCTTCTTGTTTGCTTGATAGAGCTTTAATGTGTGGATGAACTGTATTTCCAGAAGATGATCTGTGGAGGTGTTCCTGAACCCAGAACCAGACCTGGTTTTAAGCTCAGAGCTCAATGGTTTCCACAAATGCTGAGGAACTTTATTCTGAAATTGTTCCACGGTTTGTCCCAGACTGGTGAACCTCGGCCCATCTTTACTTCAAGCCTGGCTTGTTGCCGATTAACCTAATTAGTTGTCCTGTAGTTCGTGAGATATTTTGCTAACACAGACACGTGAACACAAACGGATACAAGTAAAATCAAAAGTGCATCAATGAAACTGGAGGTTTTCTGTTGACCAGAAGGGAAAACCTGTTTGTTCCGTAGTTTTTCCAGAGGAACGTTTGGGCTGGGATCTGGTCTGCTGCCAGACCTCCTGAGTCAGGTTTTCAGCAGGTCCTTAAATCCTGCTCTTGTAGTAAGAGGACTAAGAAAGTCCGGTTTGAGCTGCATCTTTTCTGCAGACTTTGTGCAGAGTGGAAGAAACGGACTTTTAATTGTGCCGAGTCGGCGTTTTGTCGTTTTCCCGTTTGATTTGTCCATTTTTACAGCTGAACTTCTTCTGAGGAGCTAGTTTAGCCGTTTGTGCATCAGAACGTTCGGCTCATGCAGGAGATGCTGCTGAGAACTTGTGTAACTTTTGATTTAGCTTAATTTACAAATATTTTCTCTGTAGAATTACGAGATCGTTTCAGTTCCTTCAAAAACATCGTTCTCTCTGAAATCTGCTCCAACACTCGCTGTTTTGTTTCTTGTGCTCCTCTTAGCTTTTAGCCTCTGTTTGGCTACTTTTAGCCAGCAGTTTGTTACTTTTGGCCTGCTTTTTTGCTACGTTTAGCTTCAAGTTAGCCTTTTGATAATTTTAGCTCATTGCTTTTGTTAGCTTTCAGCTATAACTTTTAGCTAGCCTTTTGCTTTTAGTTCATAGCTACAATTCTGCTACTTTTAACTTCAAATAGCCTTTTGATACTTTTAGCTCACATTTAGCTGTTAGGTTTTTGCTGCTTTTAGCTATCCCTTTGCTTTTAGCTACCATTCTCCTACCTTTAGCCAGTGTTTTGTTAATTTTAGCCAACCCCTTGCTACTTTTAGCTTTCAGCTAGCCTTTTGGTACTATTAGCTTTAGGTAGCCATTTGATACATTTACCTTTTAGTGTGTTAGTGATCTGCTTCTTTTAGTTTTTAGCTTCTGTTCGGTTACTTTTAACCAGCGTTTTGTTACTTGTAGCTTCAAGTAAGCCTTTTGATACTTTTAGCTCACATTTTGCTATTGTTAGCTTTTTGCTGCTTTTAGGAGGCCTTTTGCTTTTAGTTTGTAGCTACCAATCTGCTTCCTTTAGCAGTGTTTTGTTAATTTTATCCAACCTAATGCTACTTTTAGCTTTCAGCTAATTTTTTGATAGTACTGTTAGGTTTAGTTAGCCATTTGATACATTTACCTTTTATTGTTTTACTGTTCTACTTCTTTTAGTTTTTAGCTTCTGTTCGGCTACTTTTAACCAGCATTTTGTTACTTTTAGCTTCAAGTTAGCCTTTTCATACTTTTAGTCCACATTTTGCTATTGCTAGCTTTCAGAGAGGCTTTTTTTTAACATTTAACTCTTAGCTAGCCTTTTGCATTTAGTTTGTAGCTACCATTCTGCTATTTTTAGCCACTGTGTTGTTAACTTTAGCCAGCAGTTTGCTACTTTTAGCTTTCAGCTAGTCTTTTGATACACTTAGCTTTAGGTAGCCATTTGTTACATTTACTTTTTAGTGTTTTGTAGTGTTCTTCTAATTAATTTAACTTGTGAACTGCTCCTTTTTAGCTAGTGTGCTGCTATTTTTATCTTTTAGCTCATGTTCATGACTCTGTTTTAACTTCTTCTTGAAGTTTGTAGCTTTTCTTAGTTTCTATACAACGTTGTATAATTTCTTCTCCTCCTGACTATAGTTTGGCCACGGTGGCTCAGTGGTCAGTGCTGGGGTCTTGTAATCCTGAGGCTGCAGGTTCGAGCCCAGGCTGCGTCAGGAAGAGCATCTGGCGTAAAACAATTTCCAAATCTTTTCATGAGAGTTCGCTCGCTGTGGCGACATCAGCCGAAGGAAACTTTTGTAGTGATTTTTAATTTTCTCTTTTTAAGTGTTTGAGCTCTTTCCCATAAATCTCTTCATCTTTTCATACAAGATGATCTGGTAGTTCCGGAGCGTGTGAGCAGCAACATTTTGCCATAATGCAGGAAACATCTGGAAGGAACCACGTTTGGACGCAGCCGAACGTCTCGGAGCAGAACGTGCTTCCAAACAGTAAAAGTTCTGCAGGGTTCTGGGTTCTGGCTCAGAGGAGAGACTTTTCGGCGTGTTGTTGCCGTGACAGCGTGGAGGTACTCGGAGGGCGGCCCCTTTGATGATGAGTTATGGAGCCACCGCAGCGAGCTGGAGGTCAGATAAGATGATGGTTCTGTCAGGGCTTGTCCCGCCGTGGCATTCAGCCGGGTCACGTGACACCAAGAGGCAGCAAGAGTTCAGTTTGCTGCTGCTGTAACTTCACACTCCTCGTTGTCTCGTTCTAACGCCTGAAGAAAATAATAAGAATAAAAATAATAAACTGCTCGAATAAATGAATTCTTGTTTTTAATCCACTCTCTGCGCGGTAGAGAATATTTAGCATCTTAAAAATATAAAATCAAAGCATCTGGTGATATTTTTAGCTTTTGTCTTAAAGCAAACACAGATAACAAGAGCTTGGGTTAAATTAAAACAGTTAATATCTTACCTGTTGTAGACGCCTCTTTGAAATCCCTCAATTTGGAGAAAGAGATTAATTCTGACGTGATCAACAAGTTCGCTACGAGC